TTCCTCAGAGCGCCCCTGTACACTGCCCCCAGGTGGCCCTCCCCCGGGCTGGGTGCGGGACCCCCGGCTGCCCCCATGCACGCTGCGCCAAGCTCTCACCTTCTTCCTGGACATCACCTCCACGCCCAGCCCTCGACTCCTTCGACTGCTCAGCACCCTGGCTGAAGAGCCCGGCGAACAGCAGGAGCTGGAGACCCTCAGCCAGGTTGGGGGGCACCCCAGAGAGGAGCAGGGGCCAGTGAGGCTGGATGCGCGGCGGGGGAGGGAGCCCGCCTGGCTAACATGGACTGGGGCTTTAAGACCCAACCCCGGTTACTAATTCATCTCAGAATTCTCAAGGTCCTAAGGAGCTGGCCACAGAGAAGGTGCTCGAGAAACAATTGTTGGCCTGAACTGGGGAGAAGGCTGGGCTCGAGAGGGGTCAAGAAGGGAGGCCAGCAGGCAGGGCTGGGACGCTCCAAGCCCACTGCACTCTGCCCCCGTCAGGACCCCCGGCGCTACGAGGAGTGGAAGTGGTTCCGCTGCCCCACGCTGCTGGAGGTGCTGGAACAGTTTCCGTCGGTGGCACTGCCTGCCCCCCTGCTCCTCACCCAGCTGCCCCTGCTGCAGCCCCGGTACTACTCAGTCAGCTCAGCACCCAGTGCCCACCCAGGAGAGATCCACCTCACAGTGGCCGTGCTGGCATACAGGACCCAGGGTGAGGCTGGGGAGGCCGGGCAGGGCCAGGGCCACAGAGTGACCCCCAGACGGGCTACTCACTGGCCCCCTCTCCTCCCCGATTAGATGGGCTGGGGCCCCTGCACTACGGAGTCTGCTCCACGTGGCTGAGCCAACTCAAGGCTGGAGACCCCGTACCCTGCTTCATCAGGGGGTAAGTGAGCGCTGTGGGAGATGGAGGTGAAAGGGGCATTAAGGAGAGACTGTCTGTCCAAGCAGGAGTGGGGAAAGTGCCACACAGATGGCCAGGGCAGCTGGACAGCTTGGTGGGGGTTACACAGGGTGAGGGCGGAAGCTCTGGTGAGGGATGTGATGGGGTGGGCGGTGGGGGCAGGGCAGGGGAGACTCACTTAACACGTCATGGATGGAGAGCACTTCGGAACATGGGCTAAGCTTTGGGCCTTTAACCAATTTGGACATAGGGTCCTGCCCTGAAACTGTGGTTCCCAGAGACAGGGCTGGGGTTCGACCAGCAGGCCCCGTTGCTTTTAGATGTACTGTGTCCCTTGCTACATCCTTGGGGTCAGTCTGATATTGGGAGGCATGGCACCTGGGAACTGTGCCCATTCAAGAATAAGTCCTTACTCAATCCAGGGAGAACTGGTTAGGTTACTGTAAGATCAATGAGGACTCTCAGGACACCCTTCCCTCATGCTCTGTTCAGAAGTCGCCCCATACAGCAGCCAGGAGCCAAAAGTCTCCGGTGGGTAGGTGAAGAGTGCTCAGGATGGCACCCACAAGACCCAGTGACCCAAGCCCATCCAGGGGGCTAAATTACAAACTCAGTAGCAATCTACTGAATACAAATCAAAGACCAATATTGAGGCTACAGCTTAAAATTGACATATTCGGGGAACTCACTATGAACCAAGAGACTGTCCATTTCCTTCCCCTAGTTTCTAAATCTCCTAAACTGACACATCAAAATATTCTTCAATTCAAATTTGAACTGTATGTCCTTTGACCCAACTTCTAGAAACCACAGGTCCAGGGAGCTTCTATCAGCTAGCAGAGGTTCTTTTAATAAACACATCACACTTACTATGAACTAACTCTGCTGTAAGAACTTGACAAGTATTAACTCAATTATCAGCAGAAGCTGACCTCTCCTCTCTCCACCCCGCCAAAGGCTGGTTAAGAAGGGGGCGCTGGCAAGCAAAGGGAGCCTGACGGAATGTCTCTCTGCTAGGGCCCCCTCCTTCCGGCTGCCGCCTGACCCCAGCTTGCCCTGCATCTTGGTGGGCCCAGGCACTGGCATAGCCCCCTTCCGGGGATTTTGGCAGGAGCGGCTGCATGACATTGAGAGCAAAGGTGAGGCTGGGGACCAAGGAAAGGAATGGCCAGAAGGCAGGAAGTAGTCACACAATCTAGGGACAAACGGTGGGACTGGAGTGCAGGAACCAGGTAGGAAAGAGGGCAAGAAATGGGCCACAAAGGTGAAAAGAAGCGTATGTGACCACGGGGAGGGGACAGCCTGGAGACCAGGGCAGTGCCCCACCGGTCTGGCTTCCTGGTGCTGGCACAGTGTTGCATTGGATTAAGGACAATGGGAACAGGAAGTCTGGAGAGGATGGGGCTGGGACTCCGGGAGAAAGAAATTCCCCAGGCGGACTCTGGACTGTACCCGAGCTCACCTAGGTGTGTCCAAGACCCAAGGAAGCTACAAGGTGTTCCACTTGGCCATGGGGTGCCCAGGGTAACTGGTAAATCAAAAGAAGGAGGCTGTGGGTGAGGGGGAGGCAGGAAGTGTGGGAGAATATGGGGTTGGAGCAAGGAAGGGCCTAGATAGAGCCCCAGAACGACAGCGTTAGATGGTGCAAAGGGCATGGAATTCGGAGTCAGGAGCCCCACGTTCTAGCGCCACCACTGCTATTGGCCATTCCACCCGAGGAAAGGCACCACCTCCTATGAGCTTGGGATCGGGCTCAGGCAGGGTCTTTGGAAAAGTGGGTCCCGCACTGTCCTAGAGACCAAATCCCCGAAAGGTGTGGGCTGTACGCTAGGCGAAAGTAGCCAATGGGAGGTGTCGCTAGGGCTGCGCCCGACGGAGGGGGCTCTCCCAAGCCGCAGTGCTGCTTGCAGGGCTGCAGCCCGCCCCCATGACTTTGGTGTTCGGCTGCCGATGCTCCCAGCTCGACCACCTCTACCGCGACGAGGTGCAGGATGCCCAGCAGCGCGGGGTGTTTGGCCGCGTCCTCACTGCCTTCTCCCGGGAACCCGACAGCCCTAAGGTGCGGGACCCTGAGGGCGCGGGGGTAACCTGAAGCTAGTGGGAAGGACCGATGCGCGCTCCCGCGGGACGGGCAAGCCCAGGCCAAGCCCCGCCCCCTCCAGGACACACCCTCCGCCCCGCCCCTCAGCTTCCCGCCCCAGCAGCACCCGCCCCCACTCCTCCCACTGCACGCCCGAAGCCCGTTTGGTCCCACGCACTCACCCAAGCCCCGCCCCAGTGTCACTACACCTGTGTAGACGCCGTCCCAGCTCACTTAGGACTCCATCTGGCCCGCAGTAAATCTTTTCAGCCCCGGGCCCCTCCTTCCCCTCCCGGCCTGCGCCCCGCCGGACGGGCCCCTAACTCCACCTCCCCTCAGACCTACGTGCAGGACATTCTGCGGACTGAGCTGGCTGCCGAGGTGCACCGCGTGCTGTGCCTCGAACGAGGCCACATGTTTGTCTGCGGAGACGTCACCATGGCAACCAGCGTCCTGCAGACAGTGCAGCGCATACTGGCGACAGAGGGCGACATGGAGCTGGACGAGGCCGGCGACGTCATCGGCGTGCTGCGGGTGCCAAGGGGCGGGACCCGGGCGGGGCGTAGCCCTGGCCGGGGCG